ATCCTAGGACTGTTATAGTTGTCCTTGTATTCAGTATTTCAGACTTGTTCTATTTTTGTAGTTAGTTTACCCTAGGACTGTTATAGTTGTCCTTGTTTTCAGTATTCCAGACCTGTTCTATTTCTGCAGTTAGTTTATCATAGGACTGTTATAGTTGTCCTTGTATTCAGTATTTCAGACCTGTTCCATTTCTGTAGTTAGTTTATCAGCTACATAGTTACTGACACAGCTTCACTTCAATAGTTTGTTTTTAATCGGTTTTTATTTATTTTCATTTTTGTCAATAATTTTGCAATGAAACTTTTCTTGTGTAGACTCTTTGGCTTAACACACAAATTTGAACAAACAGTAAATAGTAAAAATAGTATTTATACATACTTTCTGAAGTTGGTAGATCTGACTGTTTCACTTTTTACAGTAACTACAGACTGAAATAGCTTTGTATACATCTAATTACCCCCAGCCTTGGTAGAAATAAAAACAGAGGAAGTAATTTTGTTTTGACACGACACATATTATTTGAGCTGCATTCCTGTTTAAAAGCAATTTAAAATGTCAGACATAGGAAGTTGATATGAGATTAGATGTGATTTGTAGCATTTCGTGAAAACCAATATAGATAATTGATTGTTTGTTCTCATGCAATGAAAGACAGGTTTTTTCGGCACTTGTCAAATATTCCAAACGGGGATACACAGTTTAGAGCATTTTAATTTCATCGCGTCAAACTTTAGCTGTTGTACTCCTGGGACAAATTTGAAGGTTTTAAATTTCGTACACCACTCCATCAATCAAAAGAGTCAATAGTCCCAAATAGCTCTCTACTAAGAGGGTCACAATATTTCTTAGATTCACATTTTCGCAAACTTTTGTACAGTAATGATTCTGGTATGTGATGTAGGTGTTGGTTTGTAGTGCTAAATTGTTTGCCCCCCCCTGTTCTGTAAAAAAAAGTTTTCAGTAGAGTTTTCTGTGGTATAGCTGTGTGATATACTATACTTCTTGTTGCCTTCTGCTGAGGGCATACTGATCTTGTAATATTGCTTTGGGAAGGAATAGATTTTTCAATTCAGACAGTCTGGCACAATTTCTTATGTCTACAACATTGATACCTGAGCATGCCCTCAGCAGAAGGCAATTACAGGTAATTATAAAATATAAACAATACAATAATCATTCAATTTCAAATTTTAACAATCTCTTTACAGGGTGCACAAATCAGTAACCTCATACAATCATGAAGTGGGATATATTTGGTCAATAACTTTAATTCAGTAGAAATGGCGTTATTGTAAATAACTTGATTCTGTTACTTGGGTTAAATAGTATACTGATGTTGCTATCTTACTTTTCATTTATCAGGACATTCTGGTACCCAAGAAAAATGGTAATTTTAGCATTATATGTATAACATTTGTGAATACCTATTTTAACTTGCTAACTAACCAGATATCCTATATGGATTTACATTCCATGTTCAGTGAATGGATATATCAGATTTATAATAAAAACCTGCTGGGGTTTAATGTCACTAATGTGAACCGAAAATATACTGCAATGTATCAAGGCAAACAGACCTATTTTGTCTACTGACCCTCATTTAAGTACATATATACTAAATTAAATCTCGAGCTGGTTGATTTTGATAATGAAATTTTTATTGAAAGAAAAAAATGGAAGCATTTTGTTGTGTATTAGATATAACAGGTGACAGGTTTACCAGAATGACCTTAAATGCTGAATCGGCCACAATTTACGCACAACTTGTTCAAGGAGTCACTGATTGTGCAAACACCCCACAGGCTGCACAATGTAGAAATCAGTAGCAGTCTGTCTTTTTATTAGGCTTTATTGAAAAGTTCCGTTAAACTTGAGGAAACAAGAACGTCTTTTTCCTGAATGAGGTTCATTGTCCAAAGAACTCTATTAATTTATACTGGGATTTAAATGCCGTCTGCTTGAAGATAGGTGTTCGTGTTGTAATAATATTTATAAAAACGGAACCAGTCATGAATAACAGAATTGACTGCTAGAATCTTAAGTCAATGATCAATATAAATGATGCCAAGTTTTGATAAAGAGATGAAATGACCACTTTATGGGAATGGTTGACCTACATTTTTTGTACTGTCTAACCCCTATTTGTCTGGTTCTATTAAATAACAGAAATAAAATTTACTAATACGTGTGTTGAAGACAGCTTTCATTATGGTAAATACTGCAGAGGAATTTAACCTTTTTCACAATTTGTGTAAGATGGTCTAGTTCTACAGTACTAGTTTGTATACATAAGTCAGAATCAACATTATTTATTGTTTCCCACAAAACAAAATTTGGGTGGGGTGAGAATATTTCATTATACTGTACCTGGAATATTGATTTCTTTAATTATCTTATTGATCCAACTTTTCAATGACAAATTTCCACTTTTGACGTAACTTGCTTTTGGAGGCACAGTTTGAGGTCAAAGTTGCAAAACGTTTGGCTTATTGAGGAACAGTTTGAGGTCAAAGTTGCAAAACGTTTGGTTTTATCCATGTACTATCATAACACATCCAACAGAATTTCTAAATCCAGACTAAATGGAGAGGAATCTTTTGATTTTCTCAATGGATTTCAGTTTATATTTTGTATGGATGAAACAGGATGTTTGTGTACGAACACAGCAGATAGATATGTATGGCCGAGGGAGGTAGGTCTATAAACAACATTTAATTGGTGTTGTGAAGAAAAGGAACACACTAATCTCCGTAAATCCTATCTTTCGTGCGTTTGAAGTGATAGGAAATAATGAGAAGCTTTGAAAACTGAAAACTGATAGTGATGTATTTATGTGGGGTTTACTGATCAGAATGAGACTGCCTGGTACTTCAGTCCCTGCATGCACACGGGGCAATCCCTATTGTCCTTTTGTGGAGATTCCAACTCAGGAACAAGTCTATTTAACTAAGAATAGCCTGAATGTGTCAGCACACTGTAATCAAATAATAATGTGTTAGATTCCACACTTCAGTTTAAGTGGTTTAGTTCTGACAATCAGATAGCCGTATTCATATGTTACCATATAAGGAGCTGATGCATTATAGTAGATTTGAATGAAAACGATTCTTAATCTTTTTTTTTAAATTACTTAAATTATGTTGTTATAAAAATCTAAGGGTTTACTGCTTTGCTATGTGACCGGCTGTGAAATCATACCTGCCAACCCCGAATATACTGAAAGAGGGGGTGATGACCCTCTTTTGAAAATAAAAAAGAGGGTCATTATAGTGCGCGACGTCTTTTTTCGCAACAAATATAGGAAAAATATTTGTAGATATCAAATTAGAACTTTAATATTTTAATGATGTAAAAGGTACATTCTACATTCATTGAACTATTCTTCCAGCAGATCTACAGTAGCTGCATGATCCTCATCCACAATACCAGATTCAAAGCTGAAAAATAAAAAGATTTGTCAACAACACAACTTATAAAATTAATTCGATAATAATAAAAATGTTACTGTGTTTTCACAGGCATTTTTTATGTCAATTAAAATGGTCCTGATAATAAGATGTCACATTCTTCTCATATAAAATACCATTTTGTTTCTGTCAATAAAAATGTTTAGTCGACAGTTAATTCAGTATGTTCTGCAGCATTTCAGAACATACTGAATTAACTGTCGACTAAACACAGCACCCTGTCCATGATGTCTGTGGGTAGGTGGAAATTCAGGGCCGTCACATTGATCGTGAGACTGATTACCTAGCTGTACTGTTACACAGGAACATCATCACCAACATAACAGTAGCGATTATCTTATATCAGAACTAAATCCACCAATACAAATCCTAATGTCAGGGGAATAAAAGACTTTGAAATACTAAATAATTGGAATTTGTAGTTAAAATATAAAGATTGCAAACTTTTCATTTTGACAATTTGATAAAATCACTAATAAAATCCATAGCTTGTCATTTTAAGTACAAATATTGTTTTTGTTTGTAAATATAATAAAGTCAATATTGAATATTGTCTGCCTCATTCTTTTGAGGATTTTTTTTATATCTTTGAATTATTGTTTAAAAAAATAAGTTAAATGCTGTGTAATAAGTTCATTTATTTAAGGAAAAACCTTAAGTCTGGATTTGGGAAAAATGTTTCTTGCAGGAAATGATGTTCCTCAGTGCTTTCACAATGGCTGGCATAGTCATTAGTGCCTTATATAGGTATAAGTATACATGCGAGTCAATATAACTAATTCCTGTTTATTTTGAACTTGATAATTGACATACATGGGTTGTGAATGTATTCCTTTTCCTGCCTGGCTCATTGTGAATTACAAAATGATAGAATAGGTCGACTTACAACTCTCTTTGTTAGTATACACTCCCAACACCTGGGATTCTCCAGAAAAAGACAAAGGAAAAAAATGAAAGGTTGAATGATATGCAGGCTTGCATGGCTTTGTTTCTTCAATACTGAAGTAGGTTTCAAACTGCATATTGTCTGTTTTTTCTTGGTTTTTTTCTAGGTTTTAATATTTTGTTGAAATTCAGTTATTGCACTGAAGTAATTTTGAGTTTGAAGTTATAAATGTGTAATTACATGTTGTTTTGTTTTAATTTAATCATGAAAATGAAAAACAAATTTCTTGAGATCAAACAAAAAAGGTTTTTTTCCCCGTTTCCTAACTTGCGCTATATTTTACCTCGGTACTAAAACATTAGTTCAGAAATTCAACAGTGACTTCTGCATCATCCTTGTTTTGTTGTGTTTTAATACTGAAAATATTCTCCAGTTATTTGAATTGCTTGTCTTTGTACATAATTTTAAATATTTTACAATTATGACTGTTTTTCAGTAGGACAAATCCTACCACTTAAGTAGATACAGTTCTGTAATACAGGGGTTAAAGGACCTTCTGTTTGTTCTGTATGCTATTTATTGAAAATATGTACAGTATGCTTATTAAGTATTTCTAAATGATTAATGTTTGTTTCTATCTATTTCAGACTTGAGGTACCAGGATGGGCCAACAACAGTCTCAGACAGTTAATAGGGAGCCGGTGGTGCGGCGACCTCCTTCACGGCCCGTAGCCCCGCCCAGTGCCCGACCAGTCAGCGACCTCGGCCCCAAGGGACCCAGCTACCACAACCCTGTAAACAAGGTGCTCCCAGCAGTGCTACCCACTAAGCACCAGCTACGCCCTGTGTCACAGGAAATGAGCAAGATCATTCCCAACTACAAAGATATCTACGCATATGATGACGATGACAACGAAGACAACGACAGTCTGAAAACTAATCATGTGATAGAAAATGAACTAAATAATGGACAAATACCACAAAGTAATGGTAGTATTCCTAATGGAAATGTGGCACACTCTGAAACTGGGAGTATGGCAAGTGACAGTAGTTCATCCGGACGAGCACCAAGTGTATCGTTTGATCCCGCAAGGAAAAACAAAGTTCATCGACGCCAACAGTCAGCAACTTCTAGTTTGTACAGTCGTGAGAACACGATTGTGGAAGACCCAAAAGAGAGTTTGGAATTGCGTGGCAAGCTAGATTCCATGTCTACCTCATGTCCTCAGGTGTCTATCCCGGTCAGGAGTACGTTTGACATGGACTCATCATTAAACATGACTTATGCACAGTTTGCCGAGGCCAGGCGCAATAAGACTCTATCAATGATAGAGCAAAAGACTGGTAAACGGATAGAGGATCTCAGTAACGATCTATCTGAGCACACCAGTCGCCCTGTCACTAATCTGGTTCGGTCCAACTCAGCAAAGTCCACAAAGAGTATGGATGCTCTGGATGGACGAAAGAAGAAACAGCGGGCACCTGCCCCTCCTCTAAATCGCCCTCCACCCCCCCCTGCTCCACCTACCTCAAAATCAGCTCCCTCAACCCCCCGGGGACCCATACGTTCTAAATCCCAGCAGGCACCACAGCGACCAGCTAACCCACCTCCTGTTTACATGCGGAGCTATTCGGTACATAACGAACCTCCAGCAGATTATGATATGGAGGATGTTTCCATTCCTCCTCCACCTCCTCTTCAGGGCATTCTTAAAACCAGCAAGTCCTACTACACCAAGTCCAGGTCCAACAGTGTTGAGTATGCCGACGAAGTCCATAATAATGGAATAGGATACAACGATAGACAAATGAAGGAGAGGAAGCCGCCATCACGAACAAACAGTCAGAGGGTTCCCCCTATTGTAGCCCCTATACGCCAGGAGGACCCTCTGCTGCTAGAGATACAAAAACTGGCAGAGAAAAAGGCAGCAAGACGACAAATGTCAGAGGAGAAAGAAAAAGAGAAACAACGAATGGCAGAGGAAGAAAGAATAAAACAGAGAGCTGAAGAAAAGGAGATAGCAACAGAAAAAGAAAAGGTTGCTGAGCAGGAGAAATCACCAACAAATGGTGCTTCAAATTCCAACAACACTGAACCTAGTTTAGTCCTTTCGAGTAGTAGTGTCAAACATGTCCTACAGAAGCAAGATGCTGTTGAGGAGGGGTCTAAGGTTCCTCCTCCTCCCCCAGCCGTGAGTGCTCCTGCTCCCACTCCGGGGACATCCACTCTGGAAAGGAAGCCGTCCACAACTTCCTCATCCAGTTCAGCAGACAGTGCAATGCGCCGCCTCAGCTCCCTACTACAGCATGACATTAAGGTTGCAGCACAAGCAAAGGCCACTAAAATTGTCAAGAAATCCACAAAGGTGAAAGAAAAACCAAAGGACCCTTCAGAGGTGTTTAGGGAACAGCTAGCCAAGGCAGCATCTGACCGCGAACAGAGGAGCAAGACAGAGATGACAATTGATGAACTAATGAAGAAGAAGCGTGAGGAAGAAAACAATGTGCCAGTAACAGGCCGAGTCATAGAGGATACGAACTCCACCGTGTTCAAGTCGGACAAACTAGTGGTGAAGAAAAAGGAGGACAGTGGTATGGAGAATCATAAAGAGGTCCTTACACTTGACTTAGATACAAATAAATACCCTAAACACAGGTTTGAGAAAAAGTCCCAGAAAAAAGAAAGTAAAGATGGCAAAAATGATGATTCTCTGGCAAAGAACTCACGCCAGCGTGTTCAGGAGTCGGAGTCTGAGGAAGAGAAAGTTCAAGAGGAGATGGATGATGTTCGGAACTCCAGTATATACACCCGAGAGGACTGGACACCATGTGACGATTTAGACTCGGATGACAACCTATCAGACAAAGACGAAATGATGACATCACGAGGAAATGCTCAGGGATTCAAGTCCACTATTGTTCCAAGCAAGGTCAATGACCTCAAGATTAAAGAAAAGAAGGGCAAGGGTAAGGAGAACAAGTATACCAAGCGAAACTCGGACATGGGGACTGATGAACGGAGGAAGTATGATAGCATCAAAAGATTCAAGAAATCTGTACATAAAAGTGTCAAAAATGCATTTGGATCCATCAGCAAGGCTGGGGGAAAGATTATCAAAAGGCAGAAATCTGAGGATTTGGAGGTAGTTAATGAACCACCACCTCCACCTAACTGGAAACTGAGGAGTTCTGTGTCAGCTCCACAAGCCATGAATCAGAACTTTGAATCTGAGCAGGCATTAAAATACATGGTACCGCATGGTTTTAGTGATCACAACTCTGATTCTTCAGACACAGAGGAGGAATACGAAAAGATGCGTGTGAATTTTGGACCAGAGGATGATCGGACGGATGAGGATGAGGACAGTGAAAAGGAAGAGATTCATCAGATGAGGCGCGCTGGTGTCGCCTACATCGGCAAGAAAGGTCAGATTGTGGTCCTTCCAGAATATGAAAATGTGCCAGCAGGCAAAGATAGAAATAGTACAGTTGAGTTTGAAGGACATGCACCAAAAATTTACCAGAAAAAGAAGAAATACACATTTGATAATACAGTGCGCAAGAAGGACAGACTAAAGCGAGAAGAGATGCTGAAGGAGGAGGTGAAAAGGGAGGAAGAAAAGAGAGAGGAGGAACGGAAGATTGCAGAGGCCAAGGAGAAGGAGATTGAAAAAGTGCGTGAAATGGAGGCTCGGGAACGACTACAAAGGCTTGAGACACAAGCTCAGTTACAGCAGCAGTACCTGCAGCAACAACAGATGGGGATCCTTTCAGCTCCTCCTCTGCCCCCTCCAGCAGGTTTCCAGCAAGGATACAATGCCTCCATGGATTATTCCCAGCTCCTCTCCCAGGCAAACCTCCCACAGACGGGCTACAACATGCCATTTGGCTCGCAGCCCATGTTCTCTGCCCCTGTGTACCCAGGTATGCCCAACATGTCCCTGGATGACCTTTCACAGTACATGAGGATGATGAGCATGCAGGGTTCGGCACCAAACCCACAGCAACAGTACGCCTTCATGTTAAACAGTGTGAACCTGGCCAATCAGGGTGGGTTTGACAGAATGCAAGGCGGTGGTCTGCTTCACATGCTCGGACATCAGGACAGTGCCAAATATTTCAAAACTTCTTCTCAGGAGTACTTAGACAGTGACAGAAACCAAGTGTTCAATAACTGGGTTGGTCCTACCAAACAGACTGCCTCCAAGGCGACTGTTGTACCCACTCCTCAAATAGTGCAATCGTCTGGTGGTACGACAGTCAATGGTAACTCTGTGACGGTCAGTGGGCCTCGCGTGTCCACTCACAGTGGTGGTCAGATTAGGACAAACATTATGGTGAACGACGATGAGTCGGACACGTCCGATGGTTTATCGCCACAGAACGCTGCCCTGGCCTCGGCAACCAATGTAGGCCCCACCATCATCAGTGGGTTTGATGGGGATGGGGGCCATCGCACCAAGATCTCTGTTAGCGTTTCCAACAAGCAGCGTGGATGTAACAGGCAGACAAGCTTCTCCTCAGTCAGGTATGTATTTGGTCGTATACCACATAAACATCAAGTGTCAAGCTTTGTTCTCCAGCTTTCATCAAATCAGAATACAAGTCTGTGATTCTATGTTAGAAGTTACCACTAGAATAACAACTCCTTGTTTCTTTCATCATTGCTATGAGAGTTTGAACATACATACCAAGTTTCTATATTTGTCACATCATACCAAGATATTCACAAGCTTTCTTTTAATCTTTCCTTCTGATAATTTATTGAAGACAATATAATTTCACTATATACATTAACTCATTCCTTGTTAATCAAGATTTATATTTATTCACATATTGATATACATTAGAGCATGCATCTATTTATTTTAACACGTTGGTTGGAGCTAAATGTTTTTGAGGAGGGGGGGGGCATAAATAATGAAGGAATATAAATTATTCTACCACGTCTGTGATGTAACGACGGTTTTCATTGGTTAAAAAGAGTGCATTATTGAGCGATATACCATGCGTGTGCCAATAACCAATGCACGTGAAATAGTGCGCACGTATGCTGTTCAAACAACCTCCCCGTATTTTGTCATGAATTAACAAAAATAGCATAACTGTCAGGCGGGATCAAAATATATGACAGGCGTGCCATTCAAAAGATTACACGGATCTATAGACCTAAAGTATGTGGGTCCGTGCAGTGAAAATGGTTTGTTAATTATTGACATTTAAAATGTACAGGTCTGAAGACAAAATGGTAAATTATTAATTACTTCTGTTTTTACTTCACTGGGTAGTGCCCTACATTTCACGATGTGTGCAGTGTGTGTATGTACTGTCAAGCGTTGATTTCATGTTTTGACGAACGATGTCGATAGCGTGCCAATTATTGATTGATTGAAATGAACATCGTATCTGACGTCACACGTGTTCAGTTGTTTTCTTCCTTTCTGGCCAGTTATCACAGCACTGCACTGTATGGTTAGTTATTGGTTACCAAGGTCAAGTGATGTCGAGCGTTCGCCTACAGTGTACATACCGTGTGTGAAGAATAATGTTGCAAAAAGTAGCATCGGTCTGAACAGTGGTTGCAAAACACGGCTGTCCGGTGAAGTCGGTGAAGGTGAAGGTTGCATCATGATCAGCCGGTCAGCGACTTTCCATCACGTCATGGCAACCAACTAAATATGCAAACTCATGTCAGGCCTATCGTATGATGTTGTATCACTGGCACTTCCAAGAAAATCCGCTTGATATCGGTACGATGATGATGGTTTTAGAAGTAAATGCAATCCGGGAATCCCAACCCTACGCACTGAGAAATGTTGGCGTGACATTGATCAAGTTAAAACGTGGGGACACAATCACATGATAAATCTTGCACGTGCAAAAGAACAGCGTCTAATTTGCATATTGAATTTTCTAGGTCATGTCGCCTTATAAGACAGCAAAACTTTACAATTAGTTACATTTGACGTGGTAGAATAAATAATCAACTTATGTGCGTGCATTATGGTGGAATATATAACTCGGGATTCAAAAATGTTGGAAAACTCAGGCCGAAGCGGCCTTTGTTAATTATTTTTACAAACATTTTCTCGCCCTCATTATCTATTCCACCATAATGCACGCACATATGTTGATTATTTCTTAAATATAATACAGCATTCATTTCATGAAATCAATTCCCAATGAATAAGTTATTTAAATCACAATTGAAAATACAAAAATGTTAACCAAAATAGATTTCTTAACAGAATTCCTGAAGTTTCCCCTACAGATAACCCCTGTGTTTATTTCTCTGACAACCTCTCAGTACTAATACATCTGTTTATACTGTACGCATAGGATTTTCATAATGTATCATGCAAGGCTTCACTTTTTGTACAACAAAATTTGCATCAAAATTGTGTTTTATTTATAAACACAATGGCTGGAAAATCCAGCCTGAATAGAGAACACACATGTGTTAAGGTGAACAGGAAGCCGAGAGATTACTATATCATCAGTATGTTGTGGTGTGTGATCCAGGTCATCGCCTTATTTGTATGGCTTGTTGTTCATATTTTAGGAACATAATATGAGTAACAAAGTATTAACTATTTTAAAAACAGATTACAGTTTAACTTTGAAAGGTTAATTTCTATTTTGCATTTCTGACAATTGGCTATGAATATGACCTTCACCTCAAGCTTTGAATGGCATAGCCATAACAGTATCGTATTACAATAAGTCAATGATTTAGGAGCGTGTGAAAAAGTTAAAACAGTCATCATTGGGCTGCCTTTGTTTTAGGTGTAAGATTGTAAGTGAAAATAGACAACACTATCAATCTTTGTCCAGGTGTGTAAAATAGACAACTTATTGTTTAACTATATTATAAAGGAAGCTAATTACACCATCACATTAATATTGATGTTCTTGAAAGCAAATTGTTGCATGTATTTACACTATCTTGTGGTAAAAGAACTTCCTTTCTGTTGAAATTCAAATTCAATGAAATTTGTATTTAAATAGAAGCACTATCTTCATTGCCTGTCAGACATTTCCCTGCACCAACAGAGCTTGTGTTAAGGAGTACATCTATGTATAGTAACTTCTGATTGGCAATCCTCAGCACAGGCAGTGAGTGAGTCTGACTGGCAATCTTCAGCACAGGCACTGAGTGGCAATCCTCAGCACAGACACTGACTGGCAATCCTCAGCACAAGCACTGACTGGCAATCCTCAGCACAGGCACTGACTGGCAATCCTCAGCACAGGCACTGACTGGCAATCCTCAGCACAGGCACTGACTGGCAATCCTCAGCACAGGCACTGACTGGCAATCCTCAGCACAGGCACTGACTGGCAATCCTCAGCACAGGCACTGACTGGCAATCCTCAGCACAGGCACTGACTGGCAATCCTCAGCACAGGCACTGACTGGCAATCCTCAGCACAGGCACTGACTGGCAATCCTCAGCACAGGCACTGACTGGCAATCCTCAGCACAGGCACTGACTGGCAATCCTCAGCACAGGCACTGACTGGCAATCCTCAGCACAGGCACTGACTGGCAATCCTCAGCACAGGCACTGACTGGCAATCCTCAGCACAGGCACTGACTGGCAATCCTCAGCACAGGCACTGACTGGCAATCCTCAGCACAGGCACTGACTGGCAATCCTCAGCACAGGCACTGACTGGCAATCCTCAGCACAGGCACTGACTGGCAATCCTCAGCACAGGCACTGACTGGCAATCCTCAGCACAGGCACTGACTGGCAATCCTCAGCACAGGCACTGACTGGCAATCCTCAGCACAGGCACTGACTGGCAATCCTCAGCACAGGCACTGACTGGCAATCCTCAGCACAGGCACTGACTGGCAATCCTCAGCACAGGCACTGACTGGCAATCCTCAGCACAGGCACTGACTGGCAATCCTCAGCACAGGCACTGACTGGCAATCCTCAGCACAGGCACTGACTGGCAATCCTCAGCACAGGCACTGACTGGCAATCCTCAGCACAGGCACTGACTGGCAATCCTCAGCACAGGCACTGACTGGCAATCCTCAGCACAGGCACTGACTGGCAATCCTCAGCACAGGCACTGACTGGCAATCCTCAGCACAGGCACTGACTGGCAATCCTCAGCACAGGCACTGACTGGCAATCCTCAGCACAGGCACTGACTGGCAATCCTCAGCACAGGCACTGACTGGCAATCCTCAGCACAGGCACTGACTGGCAATCCTCAGCACAGGCACTGACTGGCAATCCTCAGCACAGGCACTGACTGGCAATCCTCAGCACAGGCACTGACTGGCAATCCTCAGCACAGGCACTGACTGGCAATCCTCAGCACAGGCACTGACTGGCAATCCTCAGCACAGGCACTGACTGGCAATCCTCAGCACAGGCACTGACTGGCAATCCTCAGCACAGGCACTGACTGGCAATCCTCAGCACAGGCACTGACTGGCAATCCTCAGCACAGGCACTGACTGGCAATCCTCAGCACAGGCACTGACTGGCAATCCTCAGCACAGGCACTGACTGGCAATCCTCAGCACAGGCACTGACTGGCAATCCTCAGCACAGGCACTGACTGGCAATCCTCAGCACAGGCACTGACTGGCAATCCTCAGCACAGGCACTGACTGGCAATCCTCAGCACAGGCACTGACTGGCAATCCTCAGCACAGGCACTGACTGGCAATCCTCAGCACAGGCACTGACTGGCAATCCTCAGCACAGGCACTGACTGGCAATCCTCAGCACAGGCACTGACTGGCAATCCTCAGCACAGGCACTGACTGGCAATCCTCAGCACAGGCACTGACTGGCAATCCTCAGCACAGGCACTGACTGGCAATCCTCAGCACAGGCACTGACTGGCAATCCTCAGCACAGGCACTGACTGGCAATCCTCAGCACAGGCACTGACTGGCAATCCTCAGCACAGGCACTGACTGGCAATCCTCAGCACAGGCACTGACTGGCAATCCTCAGCACAGGCACTGACTGGCAATCCTCAGCACAGGCACTGACTGGCAATCCTCAGCACAGGCACTGACTGGCAATCCTCAGCACAGGCACTGACTGGCAATCCTCAGCACAGGCACTGACTGACAATCCTCAGCACAGGCACTGACTCCACAGCACAGGCACTTACTGGCAATCCTCAGCACAGGCACTGACTCCTCAGCAAAGGCACTGATTGGCAATCCACGGCACAGGCACTGACTGACAATCCTCAGCACAGGCACTGACTGGCAATCTTCAGCACAGGCACTGACTGGCAAACCTTTCAGTTTATTTTTCTACTATATTGTTTTATGGCCTATCGACAAGTTATTTAGGGCCAAGCTCCTTTGAGCAAGACTTCATAAGCAGCGATCCCATCAGGAGAAAACACAAATGTATGAGTAGGAATAATGTATCTAATTAATATTAGGAAGTTTTGATTATGGTGAAATATCTTACAGAGGATTTATTTACATGGATGGACGTATCAGTAGCTTATTGTATCATTTTGTAGAGATTGTCT